AAATTTGACTTGATTTGAAATCTGACCGTTTCCTTTATCACAGCCTTAGTAAGAAAACCCACCTGGAACATCAACGTGCACCCTGGGTACAAGAAGACGATCCATTCAGTAAAAGAGGCAGAACAGGCAGTAAACAAGCTGCTCCTCTGACTTGATACTAAATCAATACAACCTATCATCACGTGGGTGTGACTCTCCCAGACTGGCTGATCTGGTTCCAGGTCGACAGCACTGGTTACTGTTCGCCCTCTGCTACACTCTGTGGTGGAGAGCACCACCCTGTGTCCAGCAGCAGCAGCAGCAGACGGCACTCCCCCGTCCATCCATCAGTCCATTAGGACTATTGATCACTTGTGTTGTCTCTGAGGTCTGTCTGCTGTGGAAGCCACATGCAGTCAGGCTACTCGGGTTCACTCCACTATGTGCAGGCTGTGTGTGATCATCCTCAGGGTGTGTCCCCTCTGTGTGAAACTCAGCAGGCTGAGTCTGATACTATGTCCACACACAGTAAAGGCACATAAACATAGACACATGACGATACCTCGCCCATCACCACGTTACACAAGGCTCAGCTGGATCCTGGTGGCTGACAGTCGCAGGACAAAGGAGTGACTGGCAGCGTTTATGTCCCAGTGGAATTTACTTTTACTTTCCTACACGCTCACAGTTTTACAGCCCAGAGAGTCTGAATGAAGCCAGAGTATTTTCAGACTGTGCTGCTGCTCTTTGAGCTCACATGTGGTTCACAACTGGAGGCCTGAATTAGGTCAAAGCCTGGTAACTCCTCCTCCACTGTGACTGAGGGCAGTCGCACAACAACCCACAAAGGCCTGACATCAACACACAGGAATGTGCAGGTCTCACATCTCCCCCCTCCCCCCTGCTCTGACACACCAGCAGGTAGACGCAGCACTCCCTCCTCCTCCTCCTGCAGCCACCTCTCTGGGAGCCGGGTGAGCTCCTTGGGCTAGCAGGCGACACCTTCCACTAACCATCGTGTGGCCGTGCACACTCAGAGACTTCCAGTACACAACCATCATTTCTATGAACACTGATGAAGGACGGTCCTGTCTCTCCTCTCACTGGGAGAAAGATCTGCTCAGCGTGGGCACACACACACACACACACACACACACACACAGTCTCTAAACCAGGTCAGGCTGAGGATGGGGCGGAGCAGGGTGAGCTTCTCCGTCTCCAGGAAACTCCCACGGGATGTTTGGAAACACCAGTGAAGGAGCCTCGCTGAGCTGCATTCACAAATGTCTCCAGGCTGCACAGACATCCGCTTTCACTTCCTCAGTGTGAGTCTGAGGAGGAACTGAAAGACATCTGGGCTCAAGCT